TGTGTGTTGGAGTGAGGGGTCTCTGTGTGTGTTGGAGTGAGGGGTCTGCTTTCCAGCCCCTCAGCACCTTTAGGATCTTGAGCGTATTGCTCTTCAGTTATCATTTCTGTGTTTCCATCTCTTTACAGATTCCTATAACATAAGAGTATGTTCTGATTCATTTTATCTTGCATAGAAAGAGATAGCAAGCCAGGGAGGGGAGAAAACCAAACCAAACCCTCTTCCCTGGAGCTGCATCCCTTTCTTGTGTCTCCTTTACAGCTCAGTTCTTGAATAAACAGCCCACTTCAGACGTTTCTTCCTACCATTTCCTCCACCACTCACCACTAAATATAAGACATCCTGCCTTTTGCTCATCCAAGAACAAAACCAGGCAGTGGTGGTGCACAACTTTAATCCCAGCACTTGGGAGGCAGAGGCAGGTAGATCTCTGAGTTCAAGGCCAGCCTGGTCTACAGAGTGAGTTCCAGGATAGCCAGGGCTACACAGAGAAACCCTGTCTCAAAAAAGAAAACACAGAATCTCAGACTCTACCCAACTGCACTGAATCAAAATGAGGAAGTCCACCCCAGCGGTGATTTAACAAACCCTCTTCTGGAAGGTGGGTCTTCCAGAGAGGCTGTAATAAAGGCCAACTGCTCAGCTCACTAAGTCTCTGGAAACCTTTACCAAGCTCCAAAATATCAAGAGATTGCCAGGGTGTCGTGGTCATTCATAACAGAACCAAGTTGTTGTAAGTAGGTGCTTCATGTAGATCCAGAAACCGTCTCTCTTTCCTCTGAAACATTTTCTAAATCCACACCATCCCATTCCAAAGTCTTGGAGCGGCTCTCCTCAGCCTCACTTCCCTGGACCCTGCTGCTCCCCCATAGTTGCTCAATCTGACATCTGAAAATTGAGAAAGTCGGACTTTACTTAGGTCCCAAATGGTAACATTTGAGCTTCTCTCTAATGCTGATAAATTATGTTCTATGAATGGAATCATGTACAAAGTTGTAGGGCCACTCCTTCTTTTATACAGATATCATATTTGAAGGCACCAAATGGGAATGAGTACCTGGCTCTTTCATCTTGCACACAAGTCAAGTTCACACAGTGAGTTCCTCCTCCTCATTGCCCTATTAACTGACGTCAGGCTCAACAAATCCAAACAAGGGGTGAAGCATTACAAGCTTATGAGTGTATAGAATAATTTCAACAAAGGTATGAGCAACATTTTCAATTAAAAAGGAATCTGAAGGAAAACATCATTGCAGTCAGGGAGGAGGCTGACCAGCTCCCTGCTGACTCTGTGCTGCCCTTCCCAGCTCCTCCACCTTCCAAAACGCTGAATCAGCCATTTTATCATGGACCTTCATCCTTTTCTTTCAGATGGGTTTCATCATCCGTAACCCCATCCAACTTGTAAGCAGGCTCTTATGGTACTTTATATAGAGAAGAAAATCATAGTTCTTTTCTCTCCGTGAACCAAAGGCAGCTACAGAACTTTTCTCAGTGTGCTATTGTAGATGGGAAATACTAATTGGACCAGACTTCTTAAATGGTTGCCCTCTCATGTAGTGAGTGTATGACAGTGTCAAGAGCTGAATAGATGTGTCAGCAGTTACAAGAAAGTTGCTGTTCCAGAGAGCCCATGTTTGACTCCCAGCATCCACATGGAGATCTGTAACTTCTTTCCCAGGGGATCTAATGTCCCCTGGCCTCTATAGGCACTGGGTATGCAGAAGGTACACAAACATATATGCAGGCAAAACACCCATACATAAAATAATTTTTAAAAAATCAAAACTCAGGGTCAGAATTGTATATACTTTCAAGTTACTTGGGAACTACGTTTTTATTGTATTCCCTTAGCTATCTAGAACACATGAGAGAAAACAATAGTTTTCAAGTCAATTTGTTTCAAGGTCTCATCACTAAAGTTTTCTAAATACGGTTTTTGAGAGGAAAGGTGGCATGTATGAAATCAATATCAAAACTAAAGAGTAAATGAACCTATTACCCTGTATTCCAACTGTTAGAGTAAAATTGTGAACTTGGCTTTAAAAGTTATCTAGACACGCTTCTGTTTCAAACAGAAACAGTGGAGTACAAGAGAAAGCCATGGACGTATCAAGTTCCCCCCAGAAAAGGGGGAGGCACCCCCTGGGTTTGCCACTGGAAGCAGCTTGGTGGGTGAGCTATGAAAACCCTGAACTCCAGCTTTCAAGAAAGCGTGGTAACAGGATCTGAGAAAGAAAAGCGAACCTTTCTAAACACAGAAATTAAAGCAGGTCCCCTAGTACCTCATGTCCTATTTCACACAGTTAACCACCTACGCAGAGCCTGCTGTGGTCTTTCTCAAAGCAACCAGGTGCACCAGGAATCTCCCACCCAGGTCCTCTGAGAGCATCACACCTTGTCTGTCTTAGGGGTCCGCTGGCTCCACCCAGACCCTCTATAAAGGAACAGCAGTTGGGTTAGGTGTGGGTATGGCCACCTCAGGCCCCGCCCTCCGTGCCTCCCTCCCCGCAGCAAGGTCCTTAGGGTCCTGGGGTCGCTCCCCAGCCCTCACAAAGCTGGGGCTGCGACTCTGCCAGCTGCTGGCTCCGGGGTCGTGCTCTCTGCGTTGAGAATGGAGAGCAGGGCACGGAGCTCTTCCAGAGAGGCCCACGGGAGAGGTGGCAGGTCCTCTTCTAGGGATGACAAGAAGGCAAAGGCCGGGAGGGGCAGCAGAGGCCGTGCGCGCCCGGATGCTGGAACAGAGCGGCAGAGCGCCGGGCGTACTGGGACCCGGGGGGAGCCCCGAGCTCCCGCCGCCACAGTAGTGGACGTGGACGAGGTTCGGGGCCCGGGTGAGGAGGGCACGGAAGTGGTGGCACTGCTGGAGAGCGAGCGACCAGAAGAAGGTACGGAAAGTAGATCGGATGTGAAGAAGGTATGGAGAATAGGCGAGAGGTGTCAGACAAGAGCAGTGAGTTGCCCCACTGTGACAAAGCCAGACAGATGCGCGCGGGTCAGGGTGGGGATTGGGGAGGAGAAGGCGTGAGTTTGGCCTAGTGATGGAGACCAAAGTGCATCAAATGAAATACAAATAGCAACATCAGCTAATACTTTGTCCCTAGCCACCACTGAAGTTGGGAGAGAGAGTTGTCCAGGACTGGATCCAGTCAACGTGCAATGGTGCTCCTGGACCTGTGGACATAGCACTTTATAGGATGGCTCTGAGCAGTAACCGTGTCCCTCCTCTTCCTGCATCCTCACCTGTCAGTCTTAAGTCTAAGAGTATTTTAATCTTTCATTGGAGTGACTTCCCCTGACCTGACCCTCAAACCTCAAAGGCAGCAGAGCCAAGTCAAAGTGCCGGACCTGAGTTTAAATTTGAGCCTAGCCACTTGCCAGCAGTGTGACCACAGAAAGAGCCGTCACTATCTACCACAACGTATGTTTCATAGGGTAGATGTGGGACTAAAATAAGCCTTCCAACGCACTTTGCACAATCTCAGCTAAATCCATTCGAGCTAAAAAAGAGCACTCTTGTACACAGTGGAAGATGGGAAGAAAGGTGTCCCTTTCCCTCTGTGGGTGCCACCACACTTAGGGGGAAAGATATCTATGTCCAGTCCTTTTCATAACAAATATAAGAAAAAAGTCATTATGCCCAAATTAAAGACTAGCAGATGCTTGAGAAAAGTAAGAAACAGCATATTATATTGCTGTCTGCTGGCTACGTGGAGAGTTAACATTTCCTAGTTACCAGCAATGCAATATATGTTGGATCATAGACAGCTACTATTTGTGGACACCTGCAGTTGGGCTACAGTGTAAGTGTGCCCTGCTGCTCATACTTTTTTGCTCGATACCCCTCTGGTCCTTAGGAGAGGTCATTGGGTCCAGTGCTATAGAAGTACAGGTTAGCATGTGCCAGACCACAGCAGGGAAGTAGGCAAGGGAGGGGCCCCACTGTGGAGCCCTTTCTATGGGGCCGGCACACACTGGGTGCTTTGTTTTTGAGTTATTTAGTTACATATCACAGATCAGAGAAGATGCCTTGAGAAATTAATTAGGCAGAACTTACTAAAGGAACAGGATTAATAGGGCTGGGGGTACAACTTACATGATGGTCTGGGTAAGGCTAGAAAGGTAGAGATAGCAGGTTCCCAATCCAAACAGTGGGTCACCTTAACTGTCTCAACCCAGCCCTGAAAGCCTAGATGTTCTCTGAAGAGTCTGGTATTAAATTGAAGCATAGTGGATGTGAACTGTCCCAGTTTCATGTCACCTTTTTACAGATACAGCCTAATACTATGCTAAATAGGTGACTCCCAAAGTCTGTAGAACACCTTAATCCATTAAAGGGACTCTAAAGGAAGAAAGGCAGACATGGCAGGCAGTACCAGGAGCTTGCAGACGCTTCACACAGTAAGAACTCAGACATGTCATGCACGAGCTGGCATCTTTATATGTATATGCCATTTTACCTTTGAGCTGATGTATCAGATATAGCTCATGAGCTCATCATGAGATTATAATCAGTCAAAATCCCATTATATAGTGAGGAAATTAGGTTTTAAAGAGGTCCTGATCCCTGCCTAGAAGGCATCCATGGACTTTTGTAATGAGTGGAACTAGAACTGGAACCAACTGGTTTCCTTGGCCTTCCAATCCCCCAGTCCTCCTTGCCTATCCAGTTTATTCCGCCTCCCATTGGCCCCCACAGTCCTTCACATGGACAATACCCCAGACCTGGGAACTCTGATCATTTGGATGCCTGGCTCATTCCAGTTTTTCCAAACATGTCTCCAAACAGCTCTGACTCTAATACTGAGCACTAGATGGGCAAATGCTGTTCAGTGCATATGGTGATGTTTCAATATAATTGTTTCCCTAGGGATCAAGCCCTCTGGCTTAGGGGCCTGTGAGTGGCTTCTTGTCCTCACCTCCCTGATCTTCATCATCATAACGTTCCCCTTTTCCATCTGGTTCTGCATAAAGGTGAGTTCTTGCATGAACCCACGAGATGGTTTTCTGTTGTCTCCATAGACAGGCCATTCTCAGTCTGTGTTTGATACTTATCTACCTCCCAAGAGAACTCTTCTTCCTTCAAGACCTGGCTCAATGTAACCATGAACCTTTTTCATTCTCACAACCTGTCCTTCCCCGCCATGCTCCTAAGCACTCTCTGCTTTCACTTTTACATTTCCCACAGGCAGAAGGTTGGTGTAGGTCTTCTGTCATGGCTAGGACAGTATGTTAGCAAATCGTGTGTGTGTGTGTGTGTGTGTGTGGTGTGCTTTTTTGTCTGTCTCTCTGTGTATACAGGGACACACACACACACACGACATCGCTGTTAGACTGAGAGAGCCTTCAGGAGCTTCTTAGTTTATCCATCCTCAATGACACAAGATCATCTTGGATCAGATCGTCTACATTGACACTACAGGGAACCATCTCAGGCAGCTTCTACAAACCAGGAGAGACAAGTATATTTGGTCCACAAGTATTTTACATATACTGATCCCAGTAGTGAATGAAGATCTGGGTCTGCTCAGGAAGCACATGCTGAGAGATGAAATTAGAAGCCCAAAGGATTTAGAGGATAGAGAATAAGAATTAAAGACAGGGGACATCTTTAATGACATAGTTTGACACTTGAGATAGAAGTGGAAGCACAGGAAAGAACCACCAGACTGTGTGTGGTACAGCTCTCAAACAGCCACGCCCTGATTAAAAAAGAACCCTAAAGGAAAGTTTGCTTTCATAGGACCACCATAGTGGGCAGAGATGGTCAGGCCCCAGCACTCCCAACCTTCTTCTTCCTATATTGGCTAATGCTGCCAGGGAAGAGTGGAATTATGGCCAGACACTACAGATGTAGGTAGGGCTGCTGCTGCTCATATTCCTCACAGCATCCCATGGCCTTGACAAACCCCTTCCCATCCTTTCCCCACTAGACTGCATTGGCTTGTATCACATGACATTTTTTTCTCGTCGATTGAAATTTTCACATGGTGTCTGGTCTTTATTCTATACTGATAGGATGTACTATGTTTGTTCATTTTAGGATGTTAAAAATCCAACGGGGGGGGGGGCCTTCGGTGAGCAGTCAGTTGCTCAAGTGCTTACTGCCCAAGTTTGCAGACCTGAGACTGATCCACAGAACCCACACTAAAAAATAAACAGGCAGGCACCATAGTGCACACTTGTACTCTTCCCTAGCAATAGGAAGGTGTCTTAGTTGGGTTTTCTATTGCTATGATGAGACATCATGACCAAGAAGGTGAGAGGAGAGAACTCAATCTTGCTTATCACAGTGCATCTTTGAAGGCAGTCAGGACAGTAACTCGAATGGAGCAGGAACTTGAAGGCAAGGGCTGATGCAGAGACCATGGAGTCTGCTTTTTTATAGCTCCCAAGACCACCAGTCCAGGGGTGGCACTGCCCACAGTGATCTGGACCCTCCCACATCATCAAGAAAGGCTTGTGTACAGGCCAATACACTAAGGGCATTTTCTTAGTTGAATTTTCCCTTTTCCAAATGACCCTGGCTTATGTCAAGTAGACATAAAACTAGCCGGCACAGACATGAAGACAGGTGGGTCCCTGGGGCTCTCCAGCTGACTAGCCTAGCTTGGTGAGCTCCAGGCCAATGAGAAAGTATTAAAAACAAACTGGATAGTGACTGAATAACAATAGCCAAGGTTGTCCTTCGACCTATGGCCTCCACATCCACACTTATTCTCTCTCTCTCTCTTTCTCTCTCTTTCTCTCTCTCTCTCTCTCTCTCACACACACACACACACACACACACACACACACACACACACACACCACTTGGTTGTAATGTAAAATCTTTTTGTGTGTTTCTGGATGTAGGCTACTGGCTTTGTTTTGGATTGTTTTGCACGTATCACGTATACCCATGAGAGAGATGGTTGTATAGTTTTCTTATGGTATCTGCATCTTCACTTGGCTTATCTTGACTATTGTTATAATACTGCAATGAACATGCAGCAGTGTATTTCATCAAGACAGTGACTTCCATCCCAGCTCTTGTTGGCAGAGGTGGGAGGATCTGTGAGTTCAAGGCCACTCTGGTCTATATAGCAAGTTCTGGACCAGCCAGGACTACATAGTGAGTCTCTGTCTCAAAAAATAAAAATAATGACTTCATTTTCTTTATGTATATTTTCTGATAGATTACTGGTGACAGGATTTTATTTTTTGAAGAATACTCATACTGTTTTCTGCAAGAGGGGACCAATTTACATCCCTGGCAGAAGGAAGTTTAAATTAATGTAGAATTCGTATGTCTTCAGTTCTCCATCTCCTTGAGTCAGTTTGGGTAGTTTGTGTCTCTCTAAGCTAATTTGTTGGCATATAATTATTTCATATCACAGTTTGATTAACATAGACAATGTCCTGTCTCACTGATGTCTACACTTACTGTGTATAGATTTTAAACTGCTAAATATTAATAGAAATCTATTGTCTGTGTCTGTCTGTGTGTGAGTGGATGAGATGGGGGACCACTCGCCTCAGTGAACAGGTGGAGGTCAGAGGAGAACCTCAAGTGTCCTTACTTTTCTCCTTGTTTGAGATGGGTCTCTTGTTGTTTGGCTGTGTACATCAAGTTAGCTGGCCCTCAGGCCTCCTGGGCTTCATCAGTCTCTGCCTCCCGGCTCACTGTAGGAGCGCTTGGGTTGTGAACACGCACTATCATGTCCAGCTTTACATAGGTTCTACATGTTGAAATTTGGGTTCTCACTACACTGTGCATTGGGCAGTCTCTCCAATTCCTACACCCCCTTTTTGAGACAAGGTCTGTGTAATACTGGCTGTCCTGGAATCTATGATGTAGACAACACCACACAGGTATTCCTCCTGTTCTGCCTCTGCCTCCCCCAAGTGCTGAGATATTTGATATGAACCTCCATGTCTAGCCTTGTTCTTAGTTCTCAAAGGATGTTTTGTTTTGTTTTGAGATAGGGTCTCTCTGTAGCCCTGGCTGTCCTGGAATTCACAATGAAGACCAGGCTGGTCTTGAACTCACAATGGTCCACCTGCCTCTGCCTCTGTCTCCCAAGTGCTGGCATTAAAGGCATGCACTACCACGCCTGGCTAACAAAAGATTTCTGTAACCTAGAATCACTCTCATGCAAAGGTCTTTTGAAGCGTTTTTTTCCCCCTTTGAAATCATTTGAAAGCATTTCATGTCCCTTTAGGTTGTGCAAGAGTATGAAAGAGTAATTATATTCCGACTGGGACATCTGCTTCCTGGAAGAGCCAAAGGTCCTGGTAATTATCCTCTATGCTTTTTAAAATTTTATCCCATCCCATGCGTTGATGATTTCTTTAATCCATGCATAGTTATCATCTATATATTAGATTATATGAAATTATTTGAGTCACGATATTTGTATTTTAGCTGGGCAGTGGTGGCACACACCTTTAATCCCAGCACTTGGGAGACAGAGGCAGGAGGATTTCTGAGTTCGAGGCCAGCCTGGTCTACAGAGTGAGTTCAAGGACAGCCAGGGCTACACAGAGAAACCTTGTCTTGAAAAAAAAAGATATTTGTATTTTAATCTGTTAATTATAGGGCAGGTTGTCATGAAATGATAGAAAGCATTATTTATAGGTCACAGGTGGCCGAGAGAGAACCATGTGACCTCCAGAACGTATGGAGAGAACCCTACACCAGGGCTAGTCTAGTTGGAACAGCAAGTCAGCTTCAGACCCATAGCTCAGGATTGGCCTGAGTACAGTGTGTGTAGAGTCAGAAGCCTGTGACTTCTCAGGGAAACTTAGAGCTAGTTGATTGTCATGGAGCTCAAAGCAAAATTCAGCATCTAGTAACAAATATGTATGTAGTTGGGAAAAGAGGCACAGACTGAATCCTAGTGTCTCAGACAGTGTGTTAACTACCAGGGACTAGAGAAATAAGATGTTCCTGATCTCTAGGATCTGAAAACCCACAGCAGGTTCAGCCGGACTTCAGGGCATACAGATAGAAGTCTGGTCAGTCTTCGAAGTCGAGTAGTTTGCATTTGGAGATACAAGACAGCCAAGAAGGCATAAGAAAGCGTGAAATCCCACTATACATATACTAAGAGGATATGAGTTCCCATGCCTGCAAGAACAAGTTAAAAATGGAGACCAGTCTAGGAAACACAAATATTAGAGTTTCAAGACTCAGAACCCAATATACAAGTCCACACAAAATAAAACCAGACTCTAGAGTTCCAGAATGCGTTACATCTTGCTATGGTCCTGGTTTTCAAGAACCTTCTCTTTTGGGGCTGAGAAAAGGTTCTAGCTGTCTGTTTCCCCATACATCCTTGCTACTGTGAGCTGGCACTAGTTTCCACAGAGCTGTGTCTCTTGAAGGGTCCCTGTCTTAGTCACTGTTTTGTTGCTGTGAAGAGACACCATGACCAAGGCAACTCTCATAAAAGAAGACATTTAGTTGGGACTTGCTTATAGTTTTGAGGCTTAGTCCATTATCATCATGGCAGGAAGCATGGCAGGCATGCAGATTTTATTAAGGGTAGTAAAGAGTCAGGCATAGTGGTGCTTGCCTCTGGGAGAAGAGAAAGAGGGAGGAAAAGTAAGCATCCTTTAAAGGAAGCCATCTATATTCACCAAAAGAAAGACTAGAAGAGAACTTTAAACAAGGTAAGCAAGGTAACAAGCAGTAGCTAAGAGCTACATCCTGATCTATAGTCAGAGAGAGAGAGAGAGAGAGAGAGAGAGAGAGAGAGAGAGAGAGAGAGAGAGAGAGAGACCTGGTTCTGCTATGGGCTTTTGAAACCTCAAAGTCCACCCCCAGTGACACGTTTCCTCCAAAAAGGCCACACCTCTTAATTCTTCTAATCCTCTCAAATAGCCAGTCCCTACTGGCAAAGCATTTACATATATGCACCTATGGGGGGGAGGCATTCTTATACAAACCACCACAGTCCTAAATCATCCAGTGGGCTTTAGGAAACTTTCAATGAACCAATCTACAGATGCTGCATATGAAGTATATATACCATCTGGGGTAAGTCAGGACTAACTCACTAACACAAGCTGCCACCATGAAACTGTTACACTAGTGATCCTGGGGCGTTCTTAGAAATAACACATAGAGGTTGTCAGCTCTAAATTGATGCACCAGTGCATTCAGAGAGCGCAACAATTTTATGCAGTACCCAAAAGGCTCTAAGACACATTAAGATTAACGCTCACACATATGAATTAATAGAGATTGAATCTACTGGAGAGACAGATATGTAAGAGATCTGGAAGGGTCAAAATGATCCTAAGGTAGCCAAGTGGTCTAATTTTCTGGAATAATCTCTGTTTATACCTGGTATGCTGCACTTACTTTTAACAATGTAACACCCCCACCCCTATCCCACCTGCATTACCTTCAGAACCGCCCCCAGTTGAATAAAGAATTACAGGACAATACTTTAGTTACAATGAAGCTACCCAGTGGTCTCTGGGTAACAGGCCAAGCCAGCAATGTAGCCCGGCTCTGAAAAGGTCACCTCCAGCACCCTTCACACTTGCTCACGTGCTCCTTCCCTCACGCCCTTTTATAGGCCTGTTCTTTTTTTTACCCTGCCTGGACACCTATCACAAGGTTGACCTCCGTCTCCAGACCTTGGAAATACCTTTCCATGAGGTAAGCTAACACAGTGTATTTCTTTTCTCTTGACATGTCCATGGTCTACCATCCAAGTCAATCCCGAGGCAAAGTGACTGTGCTCAAAAGTAGAGATGGGGACTGTATCAGAATTAAAGGCATAATTATCAAAGTAGACAATCAACAGAGTGAAAGGTAGCCCATGTAATGGGAAACCATACTTTCAAATAATTTATGAGTTTAATATATAGGATATAGAGGGAGTCCATTCAGGTCAACACAAACAGCAAAAGCCACAATCTAACTTTAAAAAACTGAACAAAGGAATTAATGATAGTTAATCTTGTGTAGCTACTAGGCTAAGCTAGGCCTCAGTTATTTGGCCTATACTTAGTTAAACAGATTTGAACGTTGTGCAGGTATTTTGGGGGTATTAGATTAATATTTATATCCGCACAGTTTTAATAAATCAGCTTACCCTTCCTTGATAATGTGGGTGTGCTTCATTCAGTCAGTTGAAGGTTTTAAAGAACTGACTTTGGCTTGAAGCAGAGGCAATATAAATGCTTTCCTGGGTCTCCAGACTCAAAATTTTGGCTTCACCAGCTTCCGTAATCACATAAGCTAATCCTTTAAAAGTCATATAGCTCTACGTACACACATGCTATTGGTTCTGTTGTTCTAGAGAACACAGGCTACTGGAGGCTAGATCAGACAGCTCTCTGAAGAACATATATGAAGAACTTGAAGACATGCACATGGTCAACACATGCAAATGTGCAATTTTTAAGTTTTGGGGGAATCTCTCTGTTGGGTAGCTGCATCCTACGGTGTAGCGCCATCCCACACTCATCCAGCAGTGAAGGATTTCCAGCTTCTCCACATTCTCTTCAGAACTTGTCACTTTCTTTCCCCACTTCTGTAATATTTTCCTGCGTTTTGGTTGTGAGTCTAAGCTTTAAAGGCTGGGCCATCTCTCCAGCCTGTTACATTTTTCTTAAATGGCAGCCTTCCTAACAGGTATAAAATGATTGGCATATCCCTAATGATTAGTGATGTTTACCAACATCCATATTTCTTTATCAGAGATAAGGATTCATAAGCCTTTCCCAAATTGTCTCTTACCTTGTTTAAAGTTCTCTCCTATTCTTTCTTTTGGTGAATACAAATGGCTTCCTTTAAAGGATACTTACTTTTCCTCCCTCTTTCTCTTCTCCCAGAGGCAAGTACCACTATGTCTGACTCTTTACTACACTTAATAAAATCTCCATACATTAAAAAATATCTATTTTGAATAAAGAATAGGTCTTCCATTATTTCTTTTTTTAAAAAAAAAAATCTTACTCCTAGAGAATACACTTTAAATGCACTTAGTTCCCCTCTCCCACATAGGAATCCAGCCTGCATTCAAACTTTTTTCCACTTAGGTGGTAACCAAGGATATGTTTATAATGGAGATCGACGCTGTCTGCTACTACCGCATGGAAAATGCCTCTCTTCTTCTAAGCAGTCTAGCTCATGTGTCCAAAGCCATCCAGTTCCTGGTGCAAACCACCATGAAGCGCCTCTTGGCACATCGATCCCTCACTGAAATTCTCCTGGAAAGGAAGAGCATTGCCCAAGATGTAACGGTACCAAGATGGGTTTAATGATGAATGGTCATTTGTTAAATTTGCCATGTGCAAGGCGTTCTGCCATTTGACATGCCATTCCTTGGGCATCAGACACTAATGACAGGAAGCAGTCCTGGGTGGGAGGGGTAGGACTGGTGGGGATGAGCAGGATGGTTGGAGCAAGATTCATCTGCAATGCATAAGATGGTTCCCAGATGCTAATTCTAGCTGGAAAGATCAGCATAGTATGCCCAAAGGTGAATAGTGGTGAATTCAGGTAAGACTTTCATAGGCCAGACATTACCTGCCCTTCATCATTAGCTGCGCAGATGTTCATATTTAATTGATTTGTAATTAAAGGAGGGGATAAAAGTACAAAAACTGCCCCTGGAGAAATGGCCCAGTGAGTTAAGTGTTCGCTGTGGAAGTATGAGGTCCTGAGTCTGGATCCTCAGAAATCATGTGAAAAGCTGGGTGTGGCAACGCAACCCAGCATGAGAAGGCAGGAAGACCCTGGGGCTCTCTGGTCTAGTTGGTGGGTGGGTTTCCAGGTCAATGGGAGACCGTAACAGGAAATAAGGGGAACTGCAGGGGAACAACAGCATGAGCTTACTGTACTCTTGGGTAGTCCTGCAGATCAGAGTGCAGAATCGTCTTTGCTGGGCTTAAGTCTAGGCATGAGCTTGGCAGATTCCCTGTGGAGGCTGAGATAGAATCTACAACCTTCTGGGCCTCTAGATCACCTGTGTTCCTCCTCTGCCTTCTTAGCCCCAGCCTTCACAGAGCACCAGACCCATGCTCCCTCTGTCACATCACCTTGTCTTCCGGAATCTTATGATTCTGTCCCTCAAGAACCTTGGATTTAATCACATCGGAAATCACATCCTAAAAGCTCTCCCAGAAGCAGTCATGGGTCCTAGGGACATAAGCATCTTTGGGAGCTGTTATTCAGGCTCCTACGTCAGCTTTAGATCCTCGGTGGTTATTAACAGCCCTGTGCAAGTTAAACGTCTCTGTCCCAGGCATTGTGACATTGAAAAGCAATGTCCTATGGAAGGACATGTCCTGGGGACAGAACAATGGCCCGTGGTGCACAGGGGTGGGGGTGCCTCTTATTCCCCCCCAGGGGAGGCAGGTCTCACTGGCATCTCAACTCTCTCCTCCACAGGTTGCCCTGGACTCGGTGACCTGTATTTGGGGCATCAAAGTGGAGAGAACTGAAATGTAGGTAGGAAAATAACCGGCAAGAATGATATTTAAAAATCATTTCAAGGGGCTGGAGAGATGGCTCAGAGGTTAAGAGCACTGGCTGCTCTTCCAAAGGTCCTGAGTTCAACTCCCAGCAACCACATGATGGCTCACAACCACCTATAATGTAATCTGGTGCCGTCTTCTGGCCTGCAGGCATATATGCAGGCAGAACACTGTATACATAATAAATTAATCTAAAAAAATCATTTCAAATACTGTGGCCACATTAATATGAGAGAAAAATGACCTATCACATCATAGCCAAGATTCATCTGCTACAACATCTAAGCAAACTATCCCCGTTGTTTCTAATTATTCAGTAAGGGGTCTTTTTACTGTAATACTTAGCATTTTAAACATGTTTTTGTATTAGTGTAGTGATTTTATCCATGTAAATGTGTCTAACTTGATATTTACATCACGCCCCCCCAAACCTCCTCACCTCAGCCCCAAGTTTTTCTTCAGTGGATGTGCCTGTTATTCTGGACATTTCACAGAAATAAAAGTCATAGCATAAAGATTTTTGCCTGGCTTCCTTTCACTTAGCATAAATTATCTTTTTGTTTTTGTTTTTCGAGATAGGGTTTCTCTGTGTAGCCCTGGCTGTCCTGGCACTCACTCTGTAGACCAGGCTGGCCTCGAACTCAGAAATCTGCCTGACTCTGCCTCCCAAGTGCTGGGATTAAAGGTGTGCGCCACCACTGCCTAGCAAGCATAAATTATCAAGGTTCACCTGTGGTGTGGCACACACCAGTATTTAATTCCATTTTATAGTCAAATATTATTCCAATGTATTACCATACAAAACTGTGTTTTTACATTACTTAGTGTAAAAATATCTTCAGGGTTGTTATGGACAGTGTTGTAATGAAATTTTACTTCTGTGTTTTCTATGCAGAATATTAGAATTGTTCTCATTTGTTCAATTCTTCTCTTGAAACAAATATTCTTTTATAAGCTTAGATGAATTTTTCTGATCTTTGTTTTAAATCGTATGGCTCTTCAAAGCTGTTTTTCATTATCCAAATTTAATAGCTTGGATTTATGCAAGATCTTAAGTGAGAAAGATGATCACAAGTTTTGAACATAAAATATGGGCTGTGTAATTAGAATAATGTAGCCCCATGCAGCCTCTATAGTGGCCATCCCTGCACTTGGGCACTGACCCCAGATGTGCTCTTCCCTGCCGACCTCCCATGTCAGAACTCTAGGACCAGCTTTATCTGTTCATTCAGAAATTGATATTAATGATTTAGAAAACTTGTCTACTATTCCAGAAGAACCTGGGTTCAATTTTTAGTACCCATCAGTCAGCTCACAAGCATCTATAAGTCCAGGTGCCCTCTTCTGGCCTCCGAGGGTGATAGGCATGTATGTGGTGCACAGATATGCATACAGGCAAAATATCCATGCACATAGATCTTTATATTAAAAATTGCTATTTGTGAAACAGCTGTAGACGGGCAAGCCTGTGAGAATGTTCTGGCTGCTAAGGTCAGGGTGCATACCTATATTATCTGTCTTCTTTTTCAGTAAGGATGTGAGGTTGCCAGCTGGGCTTCAGCACTCTCTGGCTGTGGAAGCTGAGGCACAAAGACAGGCCAAAGTGCGGGTGAGCCATTCCTGAGAGCTCCATCCTCTGCCTCTGCTTTTCAAGAGCATCTGAGAATCCAGTGGTCCAGGAACTGGGTGGAATCTGGCTGTGTTCCCACCACTGTTGATAATGTGTTCACAGGACTGACCATGCAGTACCCTAACCTCTCCCCAAATTTTCTGCCAACATGCCCCTCCTCTTCTGCTTTTATCCTTTCTCCTTAAAAATCTCCTTTTGCTATCCTTCATCTCTGGTGCTGGGATTGTCCCTGGATAACCAAGACTCCTATCATCTCTAATAAAGGGATGAAGAGAAGCAGATTCCTCTCAAACAACTAAGTTGATGAAGAAAAAGACTGTGACCATATAGAAGAGTCAATAACAAAAAACCTTTAAGAGGAAGGAAGAAAGGTAGTTTTCAAGGCACACTTACATCTAGATCTCTGATCCAGCTTTCTGCCCAGTGTTGAGTGACATCTGTGAGGGTGCCGAGATCCTTCTGCTCTGAAGTGCTTTACCCATTCTTTTTTTGTTTGTTTGTTTGTTTTTGTTTTGTTTTGTTTTTTCAAGACAGGGTTTCTCTTTATAGCCAGGGCTGTCCTGGAACTCACTCTGTAGACCAGCCTGGCCTCGGACTCAGAAATCTGCCTGCCTCTGCCTCCCAAGTGCTGGGACTAAAGGCGTGCGCCACCACCGCCCGGCCTTACCCATTCTTTCTGACCAAGTTATAATTTCATGTCTGTCCCTGGGAGTCTGACACTTATCCTTCACTTGGCAAGCAGGATCCCCTAAGTTTTCAAGCACACCACACATTAACAGTACCCCTAAACTCATCTATGCTCTTCAGGACCCATAACTAAATCCACCTTACATTGTGATCACTAGTGTAATCTGCTCCCCGATGCCTCACAGTCCATCAGGGAGCGGCTGAGTCTACCACCCCAAGTTTGACAGCGCCTGACGCTGAGTAGGTGTGTGGTACCTGCTTGCGTGGTCACTCTGAAAGCCAAGCACTTCACTTGCAGTGAAGCAGCGTGCTCACCTTGCGTTTCTTCATGTGCGTTCTGTAGGTGATTGCTGCAGAAGGGGAGAAGGCTGCTTCAGAGTCCCTGAGGATGGCGGCCGAGATTCTGTCAGGCACCCCAGCTGCTGTCCAGCTTCGATACCTGCACACACTTCAGTCATTGTCCACAGAGAAGCCTTCCACCGTGGTTTTGCCTTTGCCGTTTGACATGATAAACCTTTTGTCTTCTCCCAGCAGCAGGGCACAAGGAAGCATCAACTACCCAAGTTCTTCCAAACCTGTTGAACCACTAAATCCCAAAAGGAAGGACTCTCCTATGTTGTAGGTGAACAGGAAAAAGCAATGTGAATCTGCCATATAAAGCCATATCCATGAGTGAGGCATTTGGTCCCCACCCCTGCCCTGCACTTGTTTGGTTGCCAAATAGAATGCCCTTTGAACATATGATGTCACAAGATGGCCACGTGCACGAGAACACAGTGACAGCGAAGACATCCAACCACACAAGTGGGTTGACTCATCATATTAATTACAGGAAAGAGTTTTGAATTGACGGGTGGTCTAATTTTGATTTCTGAAGACTTAGTTCAAATACCCTCCACTGCATGTTTCCTGGCTCCTTCGGCAAGGCCTCTGTGGGTCCTACAGCCTTTTCTGTGAGTGCCTATCAGTGTGCTTATCACACTGACTGGAAAGCCCGGGCTGAAGATACAGACCTATCTCTGTTCTGTATTCTTCCAAACTCCAATGGAAACAGCCCATTAAGCTCTACTGCTGACTTAAACAACTTTTCCAGCCTAAAATTTCAGACTCTCTCAAAACGTCGTCCAAAGGCGTAAGAGCCTCGTGGTCAGGCATGCTGTGGCAACAACCCCACTTCCTCAGTAGCAGTTTTGTTCCAGTTTCATTTCTGTTTTAATGATTAAAATATTCCAGCAACAAGAAACTTCAAGGGGAAAGAGTTTATTTTAGGGCACGATTCCAGGTTACAGTCCATCCCTGTAGAGAAGTTAAGGCAGGAACTTGAGGCAACTCTTAGTCACTTCCAATGTGGGAATGGAAGCAAGAACCTGGGGCACCTGGTCATGTCACAGTCAGTGCAGAAAGCAACGAGTACATGGTTGTATGAGTTCAGCTCAGTTTATCCACTCATCCAGCTCAGGGCTCCCCTGCCTAGGGAGTGCTGCCACCTACCATAGGCTGGATCTTCCCACACTGATTAACTTAAAGATAGTCTCTTTACAGACATTCCCGTGGGACAACCTGATGTAGATAACCCCTCATTAGTCTCTTCTGGGGTTATTCTAGGTTGTATCAAGTTGGCAAACAAAACCAACCTTCACATCTACATAGCAATGCCCTGTCTCAAAGCAACAACAAAAACTTAGTCACTTGTGTCAATGTTCCAAAAAGTAAATAAAGCCTAGTCCAGTGGTTCTCACGCTTCCTGATGCTGCCACCCTTTAATACAGCTCCTCATGGTGTGGTGACCCCAACCAAAAACCTGTTTTCTCATAACTGTACTTCATAACTGTAATTTTGCAGAATTATTCATACCAAGTCCTAATTGCTTGCTGTCATGTACTACAATGTGTAGAACTAGGTGTCAGAGAATTCTCTTACTGATAAGAAGTTGTATTGATAATCGATATGTGTCCACATCATATCCTGTATGTGATACAGATCTTGTGGGTACAAGAGTTACTACTGACAGTAGGGAATGAGGGGGCACAGAAAGGACAGACATGGACACTGGCATACTCTGTAATACAAAGACATATTTGTATTCAGTATTGTCCAAAGGACTCTTCATATGCATACAGCACTGATAGCTTAGCATACACTGCTAATGGTTTGTTCCAAGTTAACCACTTTCCACAGCCTAGGTACTCCTGGGTGAGAACACTGTTGATACCAACAGAAACTAACTTGACCTAGAGTTTCAATAAGTATATGGGCCCAAACATCTACACAAAGAGGAGAAAATACAAAAAATAATAGGAGGAGAAGTCAGGTATCATCACATGCCTCAAAAATGTGGTCGACCTCTTGACCGGAGGGATAAGAGTGAGTCTGGCATGATTGGCTGGCTGCCTCTCCCTGTATCACCTGTTGGGAGATCGTGAGGATGATGGTCTGAGATGATAATCTGCTGTCATCTCGGGTTGCTTGCTCACTGAATAAAGTACATTTTTATGATTCATCTTGTTCCTGCATTTGGCTTCTGTGACAGGCAACACAAACCACCTTCCATTTCTATGGGGAAGTGGTGAATTAGGGAGGGTTAAGCCTAGCTTGAGGAAGTGGGTTGATGAGGTCATGCTTTTGAAGGGTTTATTTTGCCTCTGGCTCCTTCCAGTTACTCTCTGCTCCCTGTTCACCACAGATGAAAAGTATCTAGCATATGACCCCACCACCATGATAGTCTGCCTCACATTGAGCCCAGATACATCAGCTGGCCTTGGATTGGAACTATGAGGCAAAAAAAAAAAAGTTGTTTTTCTCAATTATTTGTCATAGCCACAAGGTAGCCAATCTGTTTCTTCTCTCCTAGAAATGAGGTCACATGGCTGTGTCTGCCCATCTGTCTTCTGTCTTCCTTTACACAAGTGGCCTCAATAGCCTAATGCCAGAGATGGAAAACAAAGAGTTCTCTCAACATTGCTTAAGAGATTCAAGTAAGGTCTGAAAGTCTGTAAAATGTACCACAAAAAATCTGTCATGTTAACTTTAGCTGTCAACTTTACACATTCTAGAGTTAGCTGAGAAGGGAGTCTGAACTGAGGAATTGCCCAGATCAGATTGGCCCGAGTGTATGTCTGTGGGAGATTGACCTGATTGCCCTGTCTGCTGTGGGCGGCACTATTCCCTAAGCAGGTGGTCCTTCACTATTAAAGAAAGCTAGCTGAGCAGAATAAGCCAATGAATGAGCCAGCAAGCAGCACTTCTCCATGTTCTCTGCTTCAAGCTCTTGCTTGGCTTACTGTCCTAATTTCTCTCAATTAAGGAGTGTAAGTTGAAATTAGCCCTACTCCACCATCTCCCACATAAGTTGCTTTTGGTCAGTGTTTTATCACAACAGAAAGGAAACCAGAACAGCATCCTTAGTATACCCATGGTGTGACCTATGACCATTAGACAGACTCTCTGTCTCTTCAGACCCTGGGACCTTGGCAGAATACGACAAAGATGAAAGAAATGCTTGGATTTTGTTTCATAGTAGCACAGCAGTGGTGTGGTAAAGCAACCATTACACTAGAGATCTTCCAAAGGTGCTTGGTCACTATCTAGTCCCAGCTTGGCTTTTAAAGATTTCAATTCTATGAGCACCCCCAAATTCTTCCAATAAATTATCCTGTAAAAGTGAGTTTCTGTGACTTACAACCAACTAATAAAATTCTGGATTCCAAACATGTCATTATAGTCAGGGTAGCAGTAGACGTGGAAGTTAGAGACAGTACCTTCTACCTGATGTAGTTGATAATGATTTGACACATTCTGCAGGACACGGCTCTTGGGCTCACCGATGGGATATGCTAATTTGTATGAGAATGTCCACTCATTCCTATGGAGTAGAAAAATCTATAAAAAGTATTCTATAATTGTATGAAAATAAAAAGTACCTAGGTTTGCCAGGGCCATTGAGGAATGTCTTTTGGAAGCAGGAAAGCAGGGCTATGACCCAACAGGCAGGTGGAAGCTGTACGCAAGAGCTTTAGCTGTGGCTGTCAGTTGGGCCATGAGCATACTCAACTGCCTGAAGAATTTCCTGTTTCCTTTCCTATAAGCGCAAAGTGTGATTGACTCTGTCCAGTTGGCATAGGTAACTCGTAAGCAATGTTGAACCCATCCCTCAAAATTGCCCAGGGATTCGATGTAAATGAAGCTGAGTACTCTGGGGTTAGTGGTTTACTGATCTGAAAGATCAGGCAACGGTCTAAAGTCTAGGAGAGAAAGCCAAAGGGCCATCAACCATGTGTGGTCTTTCCAGTGACCACTAGAGCCAGAGAGATCCACAAACCCAAGCAGCTCAGAAGCACTGAGTGGGGAGGAGCCCTATAGAGTGACAGCCACAACATCCATTTGTCATTCCCAGCTTATTCTTATAGGACAGACCATCTTCCATGCCTGGACAGAGTCGGGGACATGGAAAGGACAGATGAATGAGGTCGTCAAAGAAAGAAAACAGATTCTGATGAGTCTCCAGCAACACACTGTTGTGCTGAGGAAGCCGCGGGAGCCATGGCCAGGAACACAGTATACACAAAATTCAGCCAGCTGGGGATTCTGACAACCATCAGGCCTGTGAGCTCAGGAGGACTGATAGCCCTTCTGGGCCTCAGTCTTATTTTCTAAGAAATGGGATTAATCATGTTTCCCCTACCTAGTTAGAGGATTATCATGAAGGATTATCATAAGAGTGCCTACAGTCAGAAAACTCAGATCTGTGGCTGAAATGTAAACAAAGGAACAGGATTCTCTCTGCCAAGCCAGGACCTAAAGCTTCTTATTTCCTTCCTTCCTGGGCTGAGTCTACGGGATTATTTTCTTCATAGAAATGAATGCTTTTAACAGAGCTCAGGGGAAAGCAACTGAAGAGGCCAGCATACTTTCTCATAAGCCGTTTTTAATCTGGCAAGTAAACTCAGATACTGACTTCCTATGGCCTCTGCTATGCTTCTAAAGGGAAATGTTCTTGGCTTGGTGGCATGGCTGCTTGGTGGCATGGCTGCTTGGTGGCATGGCTTTTCTAATGGCTGTTGCTAAGGGAGTTCATCCATGTGCGCTGCATTGCCAACACTACAGCTCAGCAATGCTTACGCATGTTCAGGGACACAGCCACTGTGAACCCCAGCCTCTAGGGAGGCTATTTGGATTTGGTCTTAGGTTTGGTCCGACTTCCAGATGCTTCAGACCCGTCCTTGGACTGTGCTTCTAAAAACACAAAAACAATTAGAATATGTTAGTGACTGGTATCCTATATGTACTAAAGGTTTTTAACTTTAAAAAAAAAGTTTTTAAATGCCATTTGGCCTGAATAAGTCCAATCCAACTAATGACTAAATTGGTTATTCAGAATTATGTGTGGCCAGTTAATTACTCGATTTCATGGTTCTGGGATAAAGGATTATGCAGCAAGAAACAAAGAAGAGAATATTCAAGCAGAGTTAGTCTTCAGTGTCCTAACTCATTTCTGTGCCTCTCTGCAGTCTCCTACCCCCTCTCTCTAGCCTCCCGAACACACAGGCTCTATGAGATGCACCCCTGGGATCAGGACAGGAGACCTCTGGCCATCAAGCCTGCTCTCAGAGCACAGACATTAAAAGATGACTAAACATGAGGGGGAATTGACAGAGGTTGTATGAAGGATTCAGCTCGTGTCATCTCTACATAGTCACCTTTGTTTGCCTGCTGTACTCTGTGTGTGTGTGTGTGTGTGGTGTATGTGCAATATGTGTATGTGTGTGCTGCATGCATTATGGGAATGGTCACCTGTGCGTGTGTAAAGGCCAGACGCTGATGTCAGGAGTCATCCTCTATCAATCTCCTTTTATCTTTTAAAACTTGTGTGCATGTATGCATGTGTGCATGTGAGGGGTGCACATACATGTATTTGTGCATGTGGAGCTTCTGTAAAATATATGAATAAATGTAAAATACTCATGCTCTTTTAAAATATTTGTGGTGCAGTCACGTTTTCTTCATAAAAATGCAAAAACGAGTCTCACCTTTCTTGGCAGATTTTGGGGACTTCTTTACTTGTTGGTGTTCCTCTCCATCTTCCTCACCTCCGTCCTCCTCATTGTCCTCCTTGGTGCCTTCTGTCTTTACCTGTGACCCCATTGTGGTTTTCTTCACCAACTCTTCTAGCTCCTTCTCCAGGTCTCTGTTCTTTATGAGGGTGTGATGGAGCTGCTCATTCACCTCGTCGAACCTCTCCTCGGCCTCTCTGGCCCTGGCGTCCATCTCTCTGGTGTGGATGAAGTCCAGGGAAACAACAACAGAGGGTGGTGAGACGGGATCCTTCCTTCCTACAGAAAGCCGTGTGAGAGCTTCGGGAGAGAAGATGCGCCTATCTGAAGTGTGCAGACACGGGAAGCAGAACATCAGCAGCAAATGGAGCCCTGAGGCCTTGGAGCTACTCCACACCACATCGGAGTATACCATAGTTCTCATGTCTAAGTGAGATTGGACTTTGGTATGTTTGAAATTCCCAGAGAATTCAGTAGCCAGAGAACCCTCATCAGTAGTTGATTTTTAGCTTCAGATAATTAATAGAACTCAACAAACTAAACTCAATAATGTCTCTTCTTTTCTAACACCTCTAAAACTGGAATTTATAATCAAGAAAACCAGTTTGAGATATACTTTCTACTTATGAGAGTACATGGTAGGACTGGTGAGAGGGTTAGTGCCCTAAGAACTTGCCGCCAAGCCTGACAACCTTGAGTTAATCCCATATGCCAGAAGAGAGAACTGACTTTCCAGAAGCTATCCTTTGATCTCCCCATGCAACACACACATAGATACACATACAGATACATAGGCACAGACATACATATACACACATATGCACAGATACACATATACACATACACACATATACACATATACACACATACATACACACAGAAACACAAACATACATATATATATATACACACACACATGCATAGACACACAGAAACACACACACACACAGTTACACAGATACCAATATAGACACATAGACATACATATACACACACAAACACACACACATACATAGACACACAGATAGACACACACATACAAGCACACAAAGTAAATGTAACAAACATTAAGTGTAGGGTACATGTCATATTTGTATGAAAGAGTCTTCTCATACTTGTCAGCCATCTTGACTGTATTGTACGCCCAACTCTAGGTTATAGAACATTCTTTCTCAAGCACATTCCTCTCTTCCAGCTCCAGTCTTTTCCTTAAGTCATCTCCCACAGATACATTGACTTGGATGGCTCTGCATGCCCTTCCTGACATATGTACACATTACAAATATCTGTACCAGCTACTATCTCCACTGTGGGCTAAGGAAAGATTTTCTTACCACAGCAGTACAGTTTACCGCCTTTAGCCAATGGTTTTCAGATATTCATCCCACTAGTGAGACCAAAACAAGCAGGACAGAGGTAAGCTAAGAAGTGTGGACGGCTTGGCCAAGCTCCTGGCCAACAGTCTTTATCCTCTTACCAGCGTGGTATCCATACTTACATTAGCTTCTCCTGCATATGTTCAATTACACTCATTATTTCAAGATACTTTGGCTCCAATACGCCGTGACTAGCTGGTTCTCTCTGACAAAGAAAATGTGTGAGGTGACAGAACAATTAATGGTCTATGTCTTCAGGAATTGTCTAAAATATTATTTTTTTTTCAAGACAGGGTTTCTCTGTGCAGCCCTGGATGTCCTGGAACTCACTCTGAAGACCAGGCTGGGCTCGAACTCAGAAATCCGCCTGTCTCTGCCTCCCAAGTGCTGGGATTAAAGGCATGCGCCACCACTGCCCGGCTAAAATATTCTTTTCTGTTGCTCATTACTATCTAGTAGGTGATTGCTCACAATCCAAACACAAAAACTCGATAGGCATTGCCTGTGGTCAGATAGCATAGCAGATTCCAAATTAATCACATACAGTAGACGGGAAAGACATTAGTGTGGGAGAAGGAAAGGTAGGAGGAGAAGCAACAAAAAAAGAAATGTGGAAGGGCTTGAAAAGTAAGAAGGGTAAACATGCCTCTAATGAACTTTAAAAAAAGGAAGCAATTCACAGTTAATTATTCATAATTCACTGTTTATAATTTCACTTCCTGCAAAACACTGCAAAATCCAGAAAGATTTTTACATTCCTCAGGGAATGCCATAATTGCTTAAAGGTGTAAATCTTGCCAACCAGAGAAAATATTGGGGGTAGGTCTGCACACTGATTTGTATGCAGCAAAGAGTTTACATCTACTGCCTGGCATGCCTTGTTTGTATTCATGACCTCCTTCTGGAATTTACACTCTTCTGCCTGAGTGACAGAGATGAACGTGGAGGCAGCTCGTAAAAGTGCACGTGGCCTTTCCTTACCTACGCCCATACACTGTAGCTTTAAGCTAGTCTCTTGCTGGGACCTTCTACCTTTGGCATGTGGGGCTCACTCTTCTCAGCTTTCCTAGGGGCTTTGGACTGGACTAACCTCTCTGCCCCAGAAGTGCCTCTGAAAAGGTCTGGATCCAGGCCCACCATCTATAGATACCATTCTTAGCACCAAACTCCCTGCCAGATTTTGTGTCCTGTATGTTTTTGACACATTTTTTCTGAAGCTATCTTTTAAAGGCCCTTTCCTATTGTTTTTATAAAATGGATAAATCAGTCACTGCTCTTAACAACTATACCTGGGGTATATATAGTACTATGGTATGAAAATTCAGACCATTCCTTCAGCTCAAATGATAGGTAAGGGAAGAATATCCAATCTTGGATTAAAAATATGGCAGAACCCAAGTCTGTCTCCTGCTTGCCTTTCCAAGAGTATTCACATATGGTCAGGTAAATCCTCTGATATGTCTATGATTCCTTGTGGACAGTCAGGACCCAAGAATTTGAGATGACCCTTTCGTAGCCTGTTTCTAATGTGTTGCTTGCTGGCTAGAATAGTTGAGCTACAGGAAGCCCTGTTCATACAGCTGAGCCCTCTCATTAAGACTCAGCATAGCCCTCTGGTGGTCCCTGCTGAGTTTAAACATTCCGTATCTCTACCAGTTGGTCTGAAATCTCAGAGTCTGGGCTGTTTGCTCTGTAGCGAGAGATATTATAATAATTGTATCCCAGACAGGGACCCAAAATGTTGCTATGCTAAACATTTTCAGAGTTAATAAAATGAAGCCTTTCCCAGGGAGGAGAGGCAAGTAAGTACTGCTTATCTGAAATGTCCCCCACGGCCATATGCTAAGCATCTGGTTCCCAGCTTGTGGCAGTTTGAGACATAATGGAGATTTTGGGAGTTGGGTCTCTTGTGACTTGACTTGAAGGGTATATTTTGGCCCCTTTTCCCTTTTCTCTCCCTCTCCCTTCCCTCCCTCTCACCTCCTCTTCTTTCCTCTCTCTCCCACTTTTCCTCTCTTCCTTCTCTCCCTCTTCCTATGTCCTTCATACCCTCCTCTCTCCCTCTCACATTTCCCACCACAGAGGAGGCAGCCCTGTTCCAGCGCAGGCTCTCTGCCAAACTTGTTTGCTCACTGCAGCACTGACACATTGGAGCTGAGGGATGGAGGTCGGCTGAAGCCTGGAGCACAAGCAATCTTTCTTCCTTCTGACTGGCTTTCTCGAGCACTGTGTCACGGGGATAGGAAGCTGACTAACATAGGCAGCATCCCAGAGCAGTGAGCCCCAGGGCAGCAGTCCTCAATTTTGCTCCCATAGGCTTCACTACAGGCTTCTAGCTCCTCTCAGCTTTCTGCCTGCCTCCAAAGCCCAATCCCAGTGCCTCCTCTGGATGGAACAGCAGGGTTTTTACTTCAGGAAAGAACTGTGTTGGCTGGGCCTGGCAGCTCTGCATTTTCTTTTCAAAGAACGTGCCTTAAGATGCTGTGTTCCATTTGTACCATCATTCTTAAATCTGACTCGGAGTTGTAGTGACAGATACAGAACACTACTTTCAGAAACTTCTCACAGGGCTCCAATTCGGGGATAATGTGCTTATAATCCCTGTGCACTCCCCTCATGCCAACTGGCCCAACATGACTTATGCAAGTTCTGTCTACCTTTGGTGGATTTTATCGCCTACAATGATCTTGGATGAACTCATTGCAACACCTCCACCCTAGGCCTGATCCCCACCTAAGGGCTCTACTTGCCTTCCACCATTTTGCTGACATGCTCCCTCACTTCTACATGCAACCATCCAGGCAAACAATTGAGAGTTTCCTAATTTTTTTTTGATTGAGCAATTTGGTGATGCATATTTCCCCTCCTCAAACACAGAAAAATATACATTATGAATGCACACAGAAAGTGTAGCACCAGATTTTAGGAGTCTGGTGGAATGAAGCCCACCACAGATTCCTAAAGTAATGGTGTTCTGCAGAGAGCTAGAAGCTGCTATGAGTTAGAGCTGCTTAAGTCTACCATGGCCCTAGAGTGAGCTGTCTACAGAGACACAGAAGAAAGTCTACCATGGTCCTAGAGTGAGCTGTCTACGGACACAGAAGAAAGTCTACCATGGCCCTAGAGTGAGTTGTCTACGGAGACACAGAAGAAAGTCTACCATGGCCCTAGAGTGAGCTGTCTATGGAGACACAGAAGAAAGTCTACCATGGCCCTAGAGTGAGCTGTCTACGGAGACACAGAAGAAAGTCTACTATGGTCCTTGAGTGAGCTGTTTATGGAGACACAGAAGAAAGTCTACCATGGTCCTTGAGTGAGCTGTCTATGGAGACACAGAAGAAAGAGAATGAAAATGTTTTGTTTTGTTTTGGTTTTTGGTTTTGGATTTTTTTTCTTAAGTCAAAATGGAAAAACTAGAGTCCTCTAAAGACAGTGCTGGAAGAAGAAAAAAAATCTGCAAAATACATTAACTAGGAGTCACCTGAGAGGCATGCTTAAAAGCTACATTAGACCCATATTGTTTTCTAAGAATATTAAGGAGTTTTAGATATCTTAGTTGGGTTTAAGTTACATACCCAGGATAAAAATATGCCTTCTTCAAACAGAGGTTTGCAATGAACATTTTCATCTTTCTTAATGTATCGAATGGTTTTCTCATTTGTAGACGGCGTAGGCTCCTAGAGCACAGGAAAGCCAAGAACCTGTTAGCCAGCCAGTGTGACACAGCACAGCAAATCACCCAGAGCCTGTTGAAAACTTTAGCTTCCTGTTTGTTTCCATTCGCAGTGTTTGAAAGTGTGCTCCCAACACTGACAAAGATGGGGATGGAGGACTGGGGACAGGAGGAGACAATTATGAATAAACCGAGGGGATTCATCCCAGACCTCTAAAACTGGGAGAGCTACTGTTGGTTGTCAGCTTGACTGCATCTGGATACTAGGAACTAATATTCAAAAGCAGCTGGATACATCTGTGATGGATTTTAAATCATTTCAAGTGGGAAAACCTAGTTTTAATCCAGATCTTCTGAGGTGAAAAGATCCACCTCTAGTCTGGGCCACACCTATATAAGTCTTTTTTATAGGCTGGCATGTCCTTTATACAGGTAAGTTATATAAAGGACCTAAACTTCCTTTTGGAAAATCTAGTAATAAAGGGAGAAAAAAGCAACAGCAGGGTGTGGGGTAGACTGTGTGGCTGTTAGTAAGAGGTGAATGAATAAAGCTAATGGAGTATATTTGGGTTTAGAAAAAAGAGTCACAAGGATGAGTGTGTGGATATACCTTGAAGGCTGAGTGCACCTGCAGGTGTGGCTACACCTGGAAGGCTGAGTACACCTGCAGGTGTGGCTACACCTGGAAGGCTGAGTGCACCTGCAGGTGTGGCTACACCTGGAAGGATGAGTACACCTGCAGGT